TTGTATCCGGATACAACGTTTCAGTATCGATACTTTTTTGAGTATCGATACTTTTGACAACCCTAATTTGAATACGTAGTTAAAGAGGCCCATCTGTCTTGTTCTTTCACAATTTAGTAATCCTACTGAATAAACAACATCCAACAAGAGTCAGAGGAGCAGATAGTAATGATCCTTTTGGCTCGTCTTCGAAATGCACCTTTCATTCGGTTACTTCTCCTTTGATCGGTTCCCATCTTGATCTAGTGATTGGCAGGAGAAATTGTGCATTTAAAGAATAGCCCCTTTGAGTCATAGAGTGACAATCATTTCTTTAAAAAAGTATTTCACTATCCCTTCATGTAGGCCAACTCATAAGATGTCTGTATCTGCCAATCCTTGCCAGTAGGAGGTGTCGCCCGTCCGCCATGTTCTTCCATGCAGAGATGTTAGCATATAGTAGTTACAAATTTCCTACGTTGTAGTAAAACAGGCCGCTATATGTTTGTACATATCTTAGTGACACATTAACCTAACACCAGGCTTAAATATTCGGCATGCATTTTGCTGAATAAATTGTGATACTAGTGTCTTTATCAGAGAATCTGTTGCAAATGTAACCTTATTTCTTTTTAAAAGTAGCCTTTAAACGCAGCAGGGAAAGAAATGGTTGAAATCAGAACTAGGACTAAACCCTAGTCCTTTATTTAGGTGTAAACTTAGTGTTGGAAGTGATCTTCTGGAACTAATTTGAGGTTTTAAATGTGAGATCAGGTGTCTCACTCAGTGCTGGGCAGATTGGGTAGCGTACGATGAGTGCTACATAATTCACGCTGGCCAAATGGCAACACAGAAGCTTCTAGGTGTGACAGATTGCATCAATACCAGGGAACTCAACAGGCTTTTCTTGCACACTCATTTACAGTCCGTCAAACAGAACCGTTTGCTTTGAATTGGTCGCTTATTTCTCAAAGCGCTGCTGTAGTCAAACCCTCCCTGAGGATGAAGGCTTCAGGCTGCAGAGTGAAGCAGAGTGTTACAAAGAAATATTTCCCCCTTAGTGATTTTCCTTCAGGGAAATCTCCTACATTTGGAGATGACTTTATTTAACACAAAGGATTTTTTCCCTCATTCCCTGTAACCGTACTACTAGAAAAATCTCTGAGAGACCCTATGCTAGTATCTTAAACAGGTTTTATAATACTGACAGCCACAGAGTCTCTTCCAAGTCATCTATGGGATATCAGGCAGTCTTGCCCCTGCGGCTTTAGAGGGGAGATTTAAAAAAAATAAATCTTCCTTATGACATCATTTAGAGAAGATTTGTTCAAGCTGCATCCCTATTGCCCTTCTATTTATAGTCTGAAGGCAATGCAATGTTTCCTGCCCTATAACTGTCTATATTACAGCTTGCCTGTTTTTGTAATCCACTATGACGCAATAGTTGCTTTGCAAAAGTGTGAATTTATGGTTTTCTTTCTTTCAGGCATGCTTGTGGTCAATGTCACTTGGAGGAACAAGACATATGTGGGCACCTTGTTAGACTGCACACGGCATGACTGGGCTCCCCCCAGGTAAGACACATCCCCTGTTTAGTTCCTTTCAAGTGGAGAAAGCAGCTTTAGCATGCAATTAAATTTGCTGTTGTGCACGGGAATTGTAAATGTCAAGGTGAAAGAGGGTTCACAATCACAAATCACTGATGCATACTCTATCCAAACTCTCGCTACAAAGCCTCTTAACCTTTTCATATTGCATGTGATATGAATCTGCTGTAGCAGCAACAGCTCGAGCACAGACAGCCCTAATGCAATGAGTTGCCAGTGTGCCGCTGGACCACCGAGTGCATGTTAGTCTTTATGTTGAGCCTAGAGAAACAGGATTCATTGGCAAGCAGCTGATGTCTCAGGAGGCAGCAGTGGAAATAGAAAGCTACTCTAACAAGCCAGATTGCAGAATCCAATTATTGGACTAAGAGCTTTTTTTCCCCCCACAACATTGGATAGCATTTTCTATCACAAAGGCAGCCATTTCTAACATCAGTCTCATGGCAACAGCATGGGGGTATTTATTTGGTCTTTTCTCTGCAAATACCCCAACATTGTGGATGCAAAATGTATTGACTGTAAAATGACATCACAGCTTTACTAAACACCTGCTGTAACCAACAGTAGATGGAAATCTAGAATTCAAATTGGCAACTAAGTGTATCAAAAAAAAAAAAAAAAATCAAGATTAAATCAGGCCTAATGGAAAACAAGTAGATGCTTTATCCCACTAATGTATTACTGTGGAGCTCAATTTATAATGTTTGCTAGGGTGCATTTGCACCAAGATTGTCTTAATGTTTGCAGCATGACTACATAAAGGACCCACCATAAATTATTCAGAAATCTTTCAGCAGACTGAATATAAACTTGGGCTTGTAATGAGTCTAAATTCCTGCACCGCTGTCAGACTGCGGATGTATTCACATCCCCTGCTGGGGCTAAAGTTGTTTAGAGAGACTTGTAGAGGAAGCCGTGAGTCATGGCAGCTCTGGGTTTGACTTTGTTGCAGACTGCTAACCTTCACTGCTGTGCAGAAAGATAATTAGGTTACTGTTAGTGGAAGATAATCCCACACTGCTATTTGAAGTGTTTAAATGACTTCATGTTTTGATTAGAAAGGAGCTTGAATGTTCAAAGCTCATTTATTCAAATGGTATTTGCTTTGCTTTCATTTTTAACAGGCTCATTTGTTTTTGTTTTTAAGATGTAGGAGATTATGTAGAGAAACAGTGTTTCCATAGCTGTTTATAAATACAATAATGAGGAAAATAAAGATTAGTTTCACTATTAAGCATTTGGTCATTTTTTATACTCCCGTTTTTTACTCATTTGTTTTTGTCAAAAGAAGAATTCAGGTACTCAGGGATTTTCTAATTTATTATAACCTTGGCATTACACCAAGGTTTTATATGATCTAACAAAAAAAATCTAAATAGATAAATTATAGTGTCAGAAGTAGTTAACAGGTATAGCTTTCTACATTTTTTACTTCCACCCTTCGCCATGTAAAATGTATTTATGGTCACATGAATAAATAGATTTTTGTTTGAAAGGAGGTTCAGAATAGGCTGAAAAACTATTTTATTTTTAATTTGAAGCTTTATTTTAGTTGTGTCATGGCTTTGGATATACATTTGGATCTCAAATGTTGATTTGGTTTGCAGTGTTATCTCAACCACTCAAAATTAGATTTCCTTACAAATTTGTTAAAGTTAACAAAATCTTCTAAATAAAGGCATGTCTAAATCTTTTTTGAATTATAACCAAAAGTATTAAGACAGTTTGATTTTTTGCTTTACTTTTTTAAACATAAAATTTTAAATGTCTGACATGTATATCTTACTAACTAGTTCATACATGTTTTCAACAAAACTGCAGATTTTGTGAATCGCCCACAAGTGATCTGGAAATGAGAAATGGTCGTGGCCGAGGTAAACGGATGAGACCGAACAGCAACACCCCGATCAACGAGAATAGCAACTCGTCAGACAACAAGGGTGCCACCAACAACAAGACACGTGCTGCCTCAAACACCAAGGGCCGCAGGGGCAGCCAGACGCCATCAGAGCGCCGCACCCCTCCGAACAGCAACACAGAGGACATCAAAGCCAGCCCTTCCTCTACTGGGAAACGCAAGACCAAACCTGCCTCTGATATGGAGCCCAACTCCAGTTCAGAGGACACCAAAGGCAACAAGCGCATGCGGACAAATTCCAACAATGGAGGCGTGGGTGCTGCAGGTCTCCCAATCCCTTCTGTTAAGACGGAATCTCTTCCACCTCCACTCGATCGAGGCTGCCCATCTCCAGTTCTTATTGACTGTCCACATCCCAACTGCAACAAAAAATACAAGCACATCAATGGACTGAAGTACCACCAAGCCCGAGCCCACAATGATGATGACATAAAGTTGGACTTGGATGGAGACAGTGAATACGGAGAGGACTCGACCCTCCATCCTGAACCGGGAAACTGTAATGGGGCGACTATCTCCCAGAAAGGATGTTTGTCTCCAGCTCGTTCAGTTACTCCGAAGGGCAGGAACTTTGATGCACAGAGTCCTTCCCCCTCTCCTGGGAAGTTTGGTTCAAAGCAGAGTAAAAAGAAAACAGTTGAGACGGATCCAGACACAGGAGGTACACCGATGGATGGCTGCGAGGATGGACCATGCCTTACTGATGAGGCTAGTAATGACGGGATAGACGATAAGAGAGGATCGGATAAATCAAAAAAGGCTAACACTGGTACAAAAACTGATAAAATTGCCCAGAAAAACTTGAAGTCACCACGTCCTATTGGCCCTGGGCCTCCAGGATCCCAACAGATGTATCCTTTTCCGCCTGGGAACCAAAATCCCTCCCCAGGACTAGCCCCAATGATGCAAGGAATCCCCAAGAGCCCCCAAATGAAAGGTGCACAGCCTAAACCTCCAGTTATTGGAGATCCAGCATCAAGTAGCTCCAAAGACAAGAAGAAGAAGGACAAAAAGAAAAAGGATGGCGCAAAGGACGCTGATAGCCCTAAGCCCCCAGGAAAGGGTGGAAAATTAGAGGAAGCAAAGCTTCCATACTCTGAACCTTGTGACCAAGGTAATAAGGGCGAGAGTCTCCTCAATGGCTCCTCAGACCCCCATCAGAGTCGCTTGGCCAGTATCAAGGCAGAGGCTGACAAAATTTACAGCTTTTCTGACAATGCTCCAAGTCCGTCTATTGGTGTTGCCAGTCGGATAGATGGCAGTGGGATGCCACAACCTCTTACACCACTTCACGTGGTAAATCAGAATGGTGCAGACAACTCCTCAGTTAAAACCAATAGCCCAGCATATTCAGACATTTCAGATGCTGGGGAGGATGGAGAAGGGAAACCAGAAGGTGTCAAGGTCAGGACTGATGACCAAACCATCAGGGAAAGCGTCAAAAAAGCACTCTTTCCAAACCAAACACCCAATAAAGAATCCCCTTACTATACCAATTACGACACTTATTATTCTCCTAATTACGTCAACCCCAGTCCTGGCGGCCCAAACCCAGCTGCACCAGCGGCTGAAGGTCAGGCTAAGATCAAAAGAGATGATGAACATGACCAAGCTGAGGATAAAGTAAAGGTTGAAGTTCATGAAGAACGGAAATCTGACCCCAGTGGTGCTGGCCTACAGCAACAGCAGCCCTCCGTCATCCAGCAGAGGTCCAACATGTACATGCAGCCTCTCTACTACAATCAGTATGCATACGTCCCTCCATATGCCTACAGTCATGATCAAAGCTACCATAACCACTTGATGAACACCAATCCAGCCTTCCGGCAACAGTATGAGGAAAGGCAACGGCAGATGGCTGAGCAGCATCGAGCTGCAGAGAAGAAGTCGGACGCTGTCATGAAAGAGCGAGAGGCCTCCATGAAGGAGGAGTGGAAACAAAAGAGCCCAATGCCACCAAGCCTTTCCAAAGCCCCAAGTCAGTCCGATCTTGGAAAGGTACCCCAGGCGCCGAGCAAATCCAGAGACTCGCCTTCTGAGTTGACCTCCAAGTCTATTGGAAGCATAAAGGGGGAGGACCCAAAATCCCAGCAAGCTGAGGGGTTAAAGATGAAACTGTCTGAAGGGGGTCACCATGGCAAGGAAGACTCTTTGCAAGCTCTGGAGTCAAGAGGCCAGGCTGGAATGGAGCAGGCCATGTGGTACAGACAGGTAGTACCGCTGTATAACCCGTAGTGAAACTATTTGATAATTTTACATGTTAGGTTTGTGTTGACTCTGCTTTCTTTCCCTCAGCAGTACCCTGAGAGCCAGAAGCTCCAACCAGAGGAAGAACACCAGCAACAGCAGCATCGCAGGAAAGAAGAAAGGGAACGAGATCGAAAGCTAAAGGAAGAAAGGACCAGGCCAAAGGACAGTCAAAGTGGACCCAAGGAGGATGGAAAAGACTGTAACGATCCTCGAATCAGTGCTGAAGAACATCGAGCCATGAGCAAAGACTCTCGTTCTAACCCCCACATGCAGTTCACATCACCACTAGCACAGCACCAAGGCTACTTGCCTTACATGCATGGTTACCCCTATGGACAAGGTTATGACCCCAACCACCCGGGATACAGAGGCATGTCTTCAGTCATGATGCAGAATTATCCAGGTATGTTTTATTATTATTTTTAAAAATATTAATACATTTTTACATTATTTGGTTTTTATGCATTGTGCCAGCTATAATAAATGACTGAATAAACAGAATATTTTCACACACATTGTTAAACTAGACACATTTAGAAGATGTAACAAGTAATCCTACTAGATTAATGAATAAAAAAAGATGAATAGAATATGTGAAACACTTTTGATATACTGAGATGTAATACTAAGATGTAATATGTCATTCTGATATTTGCCACTTTGTTCAATTGAAGCCAACTGTCATATAGCTCTTTATCCAGCATGTAGTGGAAGAAACTTTAAGTTGCTGTCAGGGCTTTGAAATGGGGAGTTCTGTTTTCTCCCAGATTACTGTTAAACCATGGCTCTATCAACTCTCAAAATGCTTATTTCCAGCATGTCAATTTCTATCATGTTAGAAATGTTTTGTGCAATGCCCTCCACTTTTCTATGAATCCTCACTTGACCCGAACACAGCAGAGAAGTTGACGCTGCTCTGCCATGCAGCATGGGTAAATGGGCGCTATTTAGGTGGCATAAAGTGCGTTCTACATCCTTGTTGCCGTTAAACAGTGTAAATAATCCAGACGAGACTCTGGCCCTGCACATGCCAGTGACGTTACACCCTATGATTGGCTGAACGTTGCCACGATCACGTAAAATATTGTGGTTCCTCGGACAAAGATAATGTAATGCAGTGTACGTATGCGGAGTCTGATGCAATTTTCCTGTTGGTGTGTATAATCACGATGAAGTTTTACCTGATGGATAACGAAACTGAAAACATCTGTTTTTAGTGAAGTAACTAAGTAACTTCAAGACCCGGACATAAAGAGCAGAGCTAGGAAGCGCTTGGCTAGCTCGGCTCAGTAGCCAACAGGTTAGCCTCTTTCACCTCGGTCAGATCCCCGTATTAAAGGTACAGTGGAGGATTTTCGCAAATTTTTTTGAAGACCTGCCCTTTCCACTTAAAAAGCACATGCACAGATTTGCACCGCTCCCCATCTGAATGCTGAATGTCCGCCCTAACCCCCAAATCCCTCCGTCACTCTATAGAGCAGGGACTATATAGTGCACTTGATAGCGAACTCAGTTAACTGACCGTCCAGACAGATGATCACTACTCTTTACTCCATGTTGGTCGTATAACTCCTCCTCCACCTTGTGAGGCCTGCGCCATCTTTATTAGTAACCTCTGTTGAGTAGCGACAGCCTATGGCGACAGCTGGCCGCTGTGACAGCAAATCCCATAATACTTTGCGAGGAGAGCTCTCCATGCGTAAAGAAACTTGACTCTGGGTTACCTTGAACTTTCAACTACACGCCTAGAGATGCATATCCTTACAAACTGCGGTAATCCTTACTTGAACTCATAACAGACCCTTCACTAAAACTGCGGTGAACTGTTTAGTTTGTGGTTCATATTGCACTCATAAATACAATCTAATCAGTAAATTCCTCTGTCTATCAAATCAAAATTTAACATGACAGATCAAACAACCATCAGAGACGCATCTGAACTGTTTGGTCAATGGGGAAAATATCTTTAACAGAGGCTGCTTTTTTTTTTTTGGAAATATTTAAGATGATAACAGAATGATTTACTCTAGCTTAAAATTATGAAATTCTTTAAGAGTTGATGTATAAAACCACATTTATGATGTCAACATATGTAGTGAAGGTAAAAAGTGTCCCAATCTATCTGTTTTTTTCTCTGCTTTCAGGTTATCTATCTGGAGGTTATCCATTTTCTACTTACGGGGGTAAAATAGCTGGAGGTGAGGAAGGAAGCGAGAAATCCCGCGCTAGCCCCACCGTCACTAAAACGGCAACGGACCCCAAAGCCCTGGACGCGCTACATCATTGCGTCACGCAGTACAAGAGCAAATCCCCCACGGTTGGCGATAAACCGCCCCACGACAGAGAACGGGACCAGGACCGAGGGGCTGCCGTGGAGCGAGAGCGGGAAAGAGAGCGTGAGAGGGACAGAGACAGGGACGTGGACCGACCGCGTACCTCACCGTCCCAGCGAATCATGCCCTCTCACCACCACCTGGGATACCCGCTGCTCTCAGCGCAGTACGACTTGTCCTATGCCACAGGTATGGCGGTCCACAGTGATCCAAAATGTTCTGTTCATGGCACAGTGAACAGAAGATCAAGATGATCTAATAAACCATTAGTTGAATCCACTTGAAACAATGTTTTTCTATGTTGTGGATAGATCTCATTACTAGTCCCTAAACTGAACACTTTCCAGTTCAATACCAGCTTTCTGACTGCAGACCAGGAAAGCACAGAAGGCAGATAAATACACTGCAACTTCAGTTTAAAATAGTAATGGCTGTGAGATGATTTCTAGCCCAGATGTCTGTCCTGTAGAAATAAAACTGAGTGTTTCTTTGTCCAGGGTTTATTTGAGTGGAACACCCTCGGGCTTCACGCTGTACTTTTCAATTACATTTATGTTGTCGGCTCAAAGGCAGCAATCTGCAAAGAAACTAAATCGTGTCCAAACAAAGCCCTGGTCTCTCTCTGCTGCAGTCGAGCACAATATGCAGCGCAGCTTTTAGCCTCTCAGCTCATCCAGTCTAAGTAGGTCCTTTGAGGACAAGTGGATCACAGTGTTTATAATAGAGATGTTGAATGAGCTGCAGAGACGCACAGCTTCTGCAGCCTGCAGCGACATCTAGTGGTTGCTCAGTGGAATAACATGTAAAACTGCTTTACAGGACAGGTTACATAAAATGGAACATTTTGAGTGATGGGTTAAAAATCTGGACAGGTTGTGATGCAATTCTTTTCTGTAATGTCCTTCATGGAGTAACCTCTGTGAAATGAGTGACTTTAGACCAGTTTGTCTTGCCATAAGGGATATATATCAATGTTTTTTATTTGAACTCTTTGAATAGTGACATGTTAAAGTTAAAGCTGACTTACTGACCTAATAATTATGCAGAATTTTTCCTCAATTAAGTGAAAGAATTTAAATTGGTGCCTAGAAAAGTGAAACCTTCCCACATGGAAACTGTAAATTAACTCTGTGGTTTGAAACGCAAAGCAAATGAATTTTCTCTAAAAGTCCTTCATGTTAAGTTGCTTTTATTCATATAAATCATCTTATCATTTCCAGCTTCTGAATAAATAAGGAGTTTCTCAATTCTCAGCATTTAAAACTTAATTTTATCATTTAGGAAGTTAAAAAAAAATATAAAAGTTATGCGTTTGTAGTGCAGCTGTCACCACATTGCTGCTCAGCAGGAGGGGTTGTTGCAAAGCCACTCGAGGCGGTCAGCCGCTCCGACTCGTATACCTTCTAACCAATAAGCTTTGAACAGTCCCCTGATGTTGGCTATTATGTTTTAGTTAAAATCAAATCAGACTGTTTGGAAATCAACTGAATTAATTTGGACCGAAATTGATGCTCTATAATTTGATGTGAATTTGAACTTATAAAACCCCTTTAGATGAGATTTGTATATAGTTCTGTATAAATACACAGTTAATAAAGAAAAAATAATAATAAAATGAAAGAATAAATATTAGCTTAATCTGCATCTGGTATCTATAATTAATGAATATATTAGATTAATTATATAGTATGCTGTCATTTGAAATCTTGTGATCTTTTGTGATCTTTTAAAGCAGTTAAAGCTTGGAAATTTTTTGTTCACCTATGAACACATTGTGTTGCTCTAAAATCTCTGAACAAACTTTGTCGAAAAGCATAATCACTTTTTTCTGGTTATTGGTGAAGGATACAGGGTTAAATGCATCAATACATTTTCTAAATAACATAATTTTAGTAAAAATACCATCTGTTTATACCAGAAATTACCATTAAGAAAAAAAAAATTCTCTATTACTCGACCGTTTAACAAGTAATCAAAATGGATAAATAAAGTTGAGTCTAAGCCTAACTGATAATCTGTCTTTAATTTTTCCACTTCCTAGCATTTTTTGTCTTCTGGTGTTCCAAATCACACCCTATCCTTGCATATATGAGAACATTTTGTCTTTAATACTCCAAAGAAAAGTAATATCCAGTTTTATTTCCCATTAAAGTAAAATCACCTGTTGTAACAATCCACCAACGCTTATTTTTTCCCCTTAAAAAGTACAAATAAAGAGGATGAAAGCCACCATTTTAGTTTATCTACGGTACTGTTTGCTCCCAAAAATAGGCATCAATTCCTTTCTCAGCATCCTAATATGTCAGAAAGGTCCTCCACGTAAAAATCGCCATCCCCAGGCCATCGTTATAGTCTTCACACAGCTGGAACTTCACAAGTGTCTGATCAAACTTAGAATAACATACTTTGTAAGCCAATAAAAGAAGCTTTGTAATAAAGCAGGGGTCTTCAACTTTTTCCAGGCCAAGGACCCAAAAACTGATGGTAAGATGGTGCAGGGACCCCCTAGCTATATATATTTATATATGAAATTGTGTTATATCAAACTGGTCCTATAGTCACTCTATTACAGATGGAATAATGTAACGGAAGTAATTTCTACCTGGGACTATTATAGAATTTCTGATTGTGATTCCTGGTTGATGGGACAGGTGTTGTGAATGAAACGGTTCCCAGATTGAAAGAGCTCCTGTGTGTCGCTGAATGTGTGCATTGATGACTGAAAGACATCTCCTGCCTCCATTTATCTGTTTACTACAGTGTGTTGAATTCATGTTAATGTTTATTTAAAGACATTTCAATTAGTGGAAAAAAATAGCAGGGGGGAATATAAAAAAAACCAATCAACCAAAACTTTCACAACCCCCATGCAGTACCTTTGTGGACCCCTAGGGGTCGCGGACCCCCTGTTGAAGACCTCTGCAATAAAGTATCAGAAGTGTAGGTGGTGGGCTGGAAAGATGGTTCTAATTTCTATGTCTGAGTGAAAGGAACAATAACTGGATATGCACAAAAATCGGAAAATTTGAATTATAAAAGAAAGTACTTGAATGAAAATGTGTGTAAAGTTATATGTAGAATTGTTTTGTGTGTTTATTATATAATGGGTATTGTAAGACTTTTCTTTCATATGATTTTCTTTAAGTGAAATCTGCATTTTTATGCAAACTGACCTCAGGAAGACTAGCGATAGCAGCATGATGCTCTGATGCTAACGGGGATCTAAAAACAATGTTCAGGATCTCGTTCTCTATCCATAATAATCTGTTATTAACAGTTTCTTCTTTCTGTGTCTCGTAGGGAAACCTGACCGTCACACCTCAACCCTGCAGAGGTTCATGTGACTGGCTCACATGAGAGCAACATCCTCTGGTTGTTACCTTCTAGACATCAGTTGAATGGTGTTATCTTTATTTTTTAGTTCCCCTGCCCCAAGGCAAGGCAGAATGTTGTTGCTGTTTTTTTGTTTAGTTTTTTTTCCTCCTCCCCTCGTAAAAGACCCCAAATTCTCCGATCCGAGGACTGTAACAGGACTAAAAGCAACCCAGGTTCAAAGCCATGACTCTGCTCCTTCATGCAGAGGAAACGCCGGCCCGCTGATCATCTAGTCTTTGCACTGTCGACAAAAACAATGCAAAAAGAGACTATTGGACTGCCAGAACAGCTTTCTCTTTTTTTGTTTTTTTGTTTTTTCCTGACTGCATTGTTTTTTTTTTTTTTTCTTCTTGTCACTCAGAAAGAACTTTGCAGGGGTTTGGGTTTGACAGTGGGGTGGGAGAGGCGTCAACTGAAAGATGGGCTTACAGTGCGCCGTGAAACAACGGTATATCCTAAACTTGACAAATGTTCGGCTATATTTAGTGGGAGGAGAGGGGGGGGGGACTGTAACAGCTGCTTCCTTCAGAGACTTAAAAACCTGAGCCTGAAGTTTTCCCATCTTCATCTTCATCAGTTCTCCTTGTTTTTTAAAGGAACTCTTCATCTGTAGTTTCAGGGATGACGCCGTCACGTTTTAGCGAAGGGACCGCACACACCTCATGGAGAAACACTATTCATGTCTCCTTTTCTCTGTAAGCTCTCTGTCATATCATTGCGTCCATCTTTGGAAGTGTCTTCTGCTGGTGTCGTTCATGTTTTTCTGTTTCCCTCCTTCACCATGAAAGGAGTCGCATCCACTCAAACGGTGAAGCCACATCAGCAAGCGATCAGGCCGCACACGGTGGACATTTTGTTCAGTGACCATGCTTCTCTCACTCTGTTTTCTGTAAACAATGTAAAATTCAGGCTCATGTATTTTTCTGCTGTAATATAGAGGCTTTACAACCTTTCTGTGCATAAATGTTTGTATTTATTCAAGCATGCAACTGTTAGAGAACCTGTTAAAAAGCAGTCTGCTTTTGCCACACTGAGCTCGGCTCGATGCTGCTGCTGGATGTTTTGTACGTTTTCTTTGGTGCTTTGGTTCGGCCCGTCTTGCCTTGCTGGATTTACATCTCCATTCCCTCCAACATGTGCAGTCCCACATCTAAACTGCCGTCTGATAACCGCTAATCCAGTCATATTGGGTGGCAAACAAAAGGAGGTGAGAGGGCTTTTTTTTTAGGCTAATGTGATCAAGTGGCGGGGTTTTCTTTTCCCTTACTCATGTGGCTTCACCGTAACAAAAAGACATCAGTGGGCGTGTTTCCTGTGCTCACATCTAGGTCAAATCTATGACAATGAACCATAGCAGATTTTAACAAATACGTCAAATGGACTCCCTCGCAGTTGTCCAGTGAGCTTGGAAGCGAAGCACCTCAAAGCATGTGGGTCCCACTCGCTAAGTTTCCAACCTTTAGCTTTAGGTGGACAGAAAGCGTGCCCCGCTCCACCAGAGGCTTTAAATTACACGCCATGGAAACCACAGGCGCTTTAAGTGAAATACTATCCATATGGTGCTCACATTAATTACAGGTTACTGATTGCTGAAGGTCATAACATGGTGTTTGAAGCATTTTAATGACCATGTTTTTATCTCATTTTTTGTTTTAGAAATAATTTTATCGCCCCATGTTCTTTTTTTGTTTTTTTTTATCAATCAAGGCTCTGCACCAACATCGTTTCTGGCCTCAGGAACCCATGCAGTTCCTGTCGAAAACGAGGCATTTCTCACTGTTAAAAAGCTGCAGCTCTTCATTTTAAGGTTGATGGACATTCCATGTGAGAAAGTTTCCCAGTTCCTTCCCTCCCACTGAAAAAAAAAAAACCCAAGCTCACAGGACGGTTTATATTTTGACTTTGTGCGCAGTATAAAGAGGAATGGCTGACATGATTTAAAAGCTGAATGTGGTGGTGTGTGACTTGTACTTAATCTGTAAGGGTAATCTAGGCAGCTGTGATGTTGTCATTAAAGTCAGTGGGGTTTTAGTACCAGCAGACTGCATATAGTTTTATCAGACAATGGTTGTGACAAGTGCATTTGTTCTCTCTCTCTCGCTCTGAGGGTAGTGTTATCTCAGTAGTAAGCAAAGCCCAGTGAAAATCATTTATTCTAAAGTGTATGAAAAAGCCAGAAAAGTAATTTTTGCTTTCAACTTATTGGAAAGTGCTTGGCTCTTGTATTTTGCAGGACTGTATTTGTTTCATGGTGAAGAGTATATTTATTGGCCAGCAGTTGTCTCAATTGGTGCCTAGTCGAACATTCTTCTGTGAAAACACAGAGACACTTGCTCGTTTGTCTTTTCCCCCC